TTTTTTTCTTGAAAATTGTATATAAAACCAGGTAGAACAATTTTCAAGTGTAGGAGTATAACTTAAAAAAAAAGATTTTTTTTTTGTCACTTTTAGACCACCCTAATATATATATATATATATATATATATGTTTCTTTATAGTTAAATATAATTATTTTTAATTAGTTTATAATTTTTTTGCATTTTTAAATACATATAGAATATAGAACTATGCCTCATGTAATATTTTCAACAATACAAAAATGTATTTATTTATTTTTTCGAAAATCTTTATGTATTTATATATTTTATTTTATTTTTATAAACTTTGCTCCTTTTCCTTTTTTTTACACTTAAAATCTGTATAACTTGAGTTTTTTAAATTGAAACATATAAAAAGTATAATTTAATTACTTTTATATTGGAAATGATCTAACTATGAAAACCACAGATAACACTTTTTGTTTTACTATTTTAGAAAATATTGCCATTTTTATATCGAGGCATGAGAAGTAGTATGACTTAAAATGCCTAATCATAAAAATAATAAACCAGTGCCTCATATGCACTCATCATTTTGAAATTTAATATCCATAAAAATATGGTTTCAAAATTATTATCGATTAGTCAATTTCTTAGCTAGAAGATATTATATAATATGAGCCTAAAATATACATACTCTTTTTTATAAAATTGTATATTGAATAATTAAATTTAAAAAAAAAACGGTAGCACAGTGGGGTCGAGGCACAGTGTGGACGAGGCATAGATGGGACAAGTATAGATGATATCTGACAGTGATTAAAATCACTATAATAAGAAACGATTCGATGCAAATCTGTAGATAGTGCTTCATTTAGAGAAATTGCTGGATTATTCCAAAAGCAACATCAACTCTTTTTCCTTTAATTATATCCTGATTAGAATATAAGGAACGAGCATATAAGAGGAAGTATAGGTGTTGCGTCAATCATGGATAAGATGACAAAAAATAANTCAATCGTGGATAAGATGACAGAAAATAGACTTAGATTGTTTAGTCATGTTATGAGGAGAGAAGAATCGGAAGCTGTAAGAACAGTTGAAATGAATGTTNAAGCTGTAAGAACAGTTATAGAAATGAATGTTGAAGGAAGAAGAGATAGAGGAAGACCAAAAAAGAGATGGAGGGATGCTATTGAATGCGATTTGAGGACAGCTGATGTGAGCGTAGAAGATGTGGGAGAACGCTTCGATGCAAATAAAAATAGTGTTTAATTTTAAAAAATTGGTGGATTATTCCAAAAGCTTCATAAACTGCTAGGTACTTATTAATATACTGATTAAGATTAAGTATGTCGAATGAAAAAGAGATTATTAAAAAATATTATTTCTCATAAAAAAATTATATTGATCAATACACTTTTCAATAAGTTATAGCATTATAAAGTTAAAAATGTAAAAAATAAAATCGAGAATTTTTACACAATAATAGCATTTGGTAGCCATTTTCAACGTGAAGACAAAATAAAGTCCGAAATTTTTTTTTTTACATAATAAAGTACATTACATTAGCTTTAATTTAAGCTATATATAACAGTGTCAGACTTTCCGGAACACTTTCAAAAAAGTGGTAACAGACACAAAAAAAAATAAGTAAATAAAATAAAAAATAAAATAAACACATCTTAGTAAAACCTATACCTTCTCAGCTTCGCATCGAAGCTAAAAAANTAACATGATAAAAAGTAACCGTAAAATGAAAAAAATGGAATATAAATTTTAGTACTCATATTAAATGTAATGTAATTCGAAAAATATTTGTTTAAATGAAAAAATATAAGATAATTTTTTTGTTTATAATTGTCTTTTAAAGAGCTTTTGTACAAAATTTTTTTTTGTAAGTTAAATATTTTTTGAGATAATTAAAAAAGCTCATATTTTTGAACTTTTGCGAGGCTGTAAAAAAAAAGCTCAATTTCAATCAATGAGGACTATTAGTATGTCATTATACATATTTTAATTCAACTATTAATAAAACAAAATTTGGTTGGGAATTTTTTAAGAAATTTTTCCTTTGTTGACTGGCCTAGATGTCAATTTTAAACTTGTAATTGAGCTAAAAGTTATGGTAATATATTCAATTTATTTTACTATAAACTTTCATAAATCTTTATCAAAAATTTTTCATCAACTTTAAAGAACCAAAAAAATAGGTTAAAATTGAAAATTTGGACTGATTATTTTTAACATATTAAAAATCAAATCAGTAATAATTTGAAAACAAATTTTTTTTTCTTTTAATTATTATTTTATATATATAATTAGTAATAATATAAAAAATTAGAAGTGATAGAAATAGTCTACTTGCAGATTTGAAAACAACGCGAAAAGTTGATTTAGAAAAGTATATTTTTGCTTCTGATGAAAGTTCCTTGTAGTCCAGTGCATTTTTTTATAGTAACAAACAGTTTTTATTGAAAATTATTGTATCAAGCCCTTTAAATTTTTATACACATAAAAGTAAAGCAAAATATAACTTCATTATTATTTTTATAATTTCCNGCAAAATATAACTTCTTTATTATTTTTATAATTTCTCCGTTTAAATTACAATATTAAATATCAATTTCATACTAAATTTAATAATTATAATTAGTATATATTCATATATTATATTTTAAAATCAAAGAACTACTAATCATGATATAATTAAAGAAATAAGAGTTGATGTTGCTTTTGGAATAATCCACCAAATTCCTACTTCAATAAAAAAAAAAAAATTGGTTGAGAATTTTTTCTGCTATTCTCCAAAATTACCCCTTCGTTGACTAGAATGTATCATTAAATAGAACATTTTATGAGAATTAAAACAATGTTATTTTTAAGATTAATATGCAGTCAGGAAATTTCATAATTACTATTTACAGTATATTTATCAGAAAAACTCATAATTTTTTTGCATTTTTATCGTAATAGAACACTTAAATAGAAATCATAATATCATTTCTAAGTAATTTTTGGTATTTAAAAAGATTCTACAATTGAAATATCCAGAACTGAATTAATTTTAATGATTTACTTTAACTAAAAAAAAGAAAGTTATTATTTTGAATCCCTCTTGTGGGCAGGTAAAGGGTTAGATTTATAAAAAAAAACCAAATTATAGATAAAGACATGCATCTAAATAAAAAAAAATATACTGATTTGGTCATTTTTGATAAAGTTATAACTGTTAACAAAGTTATAAGCCTTATACACTGGACTACAAGGAACTTCCATCAGAAACAAAAATATACTATTCTAAATCAACTTTTCATGTTATCTTCAAATCTGCAATTAGACTTTATCTATCAGTTCTAATTTTTTATATTATTACTAATTACATATAAAAAATAATTAAATCATCAATTTAAGCAACATCAACTTCTATTAAAATAAAATACAAAACCCATAATTATCATACAAAAATAGTATATTTTTCAATATGGTAGCCATTTGCGCATAGAAGATAGATCGTCGGAACAAATTTTTTTTTTTCATTTTGTAGTACATAAAATAAGCTTTAATTTGATATATGTTTAAAGAACGCAGTAATTCCGGAATATTTTCAAAAATTAAGTTGAAAAAGTTATTTTTTGTAAAAAAGTTACTATTTTAAATCCCCTCAATGAGCAGAATAAGTGTAAGATTTTCAAAAAAAATTATATCAAATGAAAGGGAAATATCTAAGGTTTCAATACAAAAAAATATTATTTTTATTTGTTCATTTTTGAAAAAGTTATGGCAGTTTTAAGTACAAAAAACATCCCGATAAAATGTAATTTTTATCGCAAACATTACATTTTTTTTAGAATTTTCGACAGCCATTTGCACATAGAAGATAAGATGTCGGGACAAATTTTTTTTTTTCATTTGATAGTATATAACATAACCTTTGATTTGATATATGTTTAAAGGACGCAGTATTTCCGGAACATTTTCAAAAGTTCAGTTGAAAAAGATCTATGTTTTTTACAATATTTTAAGTTTTGAACGCCCCCTATATAAGGGGAAATTGTCCAATTTTAATAAAAAGTATGTCAAATGAAAGATGTACTTATAATGTATTTAGAAAAAAAAA